TGATGAGTGTTCTTTAACACAGCGGTGAAGTGCTGTGTGTTATTACTTTGTCTGTGTTGTCTTACATCATGGAAGCTGCCCTATCCACACAGAACTTTCTGGGACGTGAGTAGAGAAAAGGAGTGCTCTGTTAAAAAGAATTAAGCTGAGCCTCCTTTAAGCAGAAATGAGAGCATCTCTTGGGATAACAGAGTAGCATTTTAAAGTCTTTGCGTTCCACTGAAAGCTAAAGTTTGTATAAAGTAGTTTTCCTGAGAGCTATTAACAACAGGTTCTGTGAATTGCGCTTTTTTCAGATGGTTTAGTTGGGGCATGTGGCAGTGCAGATAGGGATGACAGTTCTTGAGATGATAACGACTTTTATGTACGTAGCTGGCTTTAGGCAATATTAGAGAAACCTTAAAAGTGTAACAAATGACAAGTGCAATACAAACAGTGATAAAATTTTCAGGTGCTCTTACTGACACTTTAAAGTGTAATAAAGAAGTCAAATTTTTAATAGAGATTAGTAAAATCTTAACGTTATTGCTCTGCATAGTCACGTTTCCATTCAAAAATAGTCTTTGGTTACTTTTTTATGATGCAGATAACTATCTTACAGGAATCTCATAGCTGGTGGAAGGGGATCGTTATGACCTTTACACGTTTTCTTCAACACAACAGCGAAGGCTCTCCTAGTGTGGAAGCCTACAGATTGCTTAACTTCTCTACCTGTTGAAAAGGCAAAGGATGAGGGGTTTCTGCTGCAGATTCTGGAGGGACGGTTTGTGTCACCGATGTCTAATTTTTCTCCAGAAGATCACTCTTTGGATATTCGATTAAGTGTTTTTTAAAAGCCTGCCTTAAATTAACTGAGCAGGAGAATATGGAGGCATCCTTTTGCCTGCAGTTTTAGTCAGAACTGCTTCATGTCAGCACCTGTGGGCAGGAACAGTCTCATAGGCTCCATTCTTGGTGTTCAGTAAGAAACCTGACATAAAGAAGGTACAAGTTTGAATCCAGTCTCAGATTGTCCCGACATTTTCCCTTCTCCCCTTTCCTTCTGTAGACCTTGGGAGTAGTTTAAGAGCATTGACCTGATGGTCAGGCTTTCTAAGACTAGAAAGACATCGTATGTGTGTAGGACTAAAGTAATGTGTATGTGTGTACTTTTACTTGTATACACATGGGTTGTTTAGCCTGGGAGGGCAATAGAGGCAATCACGGAGGGAGGAAGTTTCATAAACCGTGAGTCCCCATTTTCTTCCATGTGGGCAACAAGAATCTCAGCCCATGAGGCCATGAATAGATTCAAGTAGAGGCATTTTTTTGCATTTTCTAAGCATCAGATTTCTTCTGAGCTATGTGGATTGTTCCCCTCTGTTCTGTAGATGCTATTGTCAAGAGAACTACAGTGCTTTTGACATTCATGATGCCACTGTCACCTTTGAGACGAAAGTCTGAAGCGATCCTTTAAAATCTCATCAGGAAATCCAAAAGACAGTTTATATTTACTTTAGTGTTCTGTTAATGTCATGTCATCAGTATTCTGTGCTCCTTTTGTGCTTGCAGACTTTCAATTTTTGAAATTAACAGAAAACTTAAAAACATAGTAAGCTTGATTTTTCTGAAATGGCTGACTTAAGCTTTATGTGGCCAATAGTTTACGGAGCTTTCTGGTTTTGTCCACAGAGATGCATCTGCTTTACATTTTATGAAAATGTTTGTTGTATTTCTTGACTATCTCCTCTTAGAATTCACTTAGCAGTAGTGTTTCCCTTTCTACACTCAACAGGAGTTAGTGAACTAGCTAGTAGCAGTAGCTAGTTAGTGGTGATGGGTTGAAAATTATTACAGAAAGTAAAACAAAAAATCTTTCAAATGGTACAGTCGTGATTTTTGTGGTTTTGTGCATCTGCCAGCAGCTAAAATTGCATCAGGTGAAGAAAGCTGATAAAGTGAGAGACTGTCCCCATTTTCAAGGCAGTATTACCCCATTCAGTAACATGTTAATGAATAGCACCAAAAGATGTTTTTTCTACTGTAGAGAGAGATTTGTTATTTGGGAAAGAAGTATTGAGAATAGATTGACTGTTTCTGTAAAGGAAAGTTCAGTGAGAAAAGGCTGTTGGCATCAGTGACACTAAAATATAGGGTTTTTTTAAAGATATCTTTGGCACCAAACAGTTTCTCTTGCACAGAGTGGTGTCACTTGCACAGGTAGGGCTCTTCCTTTTCCACAGGCCTATAATATGAATAATCACTTTTTTTCCTAAAAAAAAAAAAATACAGAGGGGAAAAAAGCATATAATGACGAGTATTCCAAATTTTTTAAAAATACCTACATGCCTAAACACTTATTGAAAGCCATCAATCTTGTCTTACGTAATAATACATTTCGTAGATTTCAAACATGCTAAAATGTCAGTGTTACTGATGGCCTGCATTATATTGTAGTGAAATTGAATGGTTTCCATCCAAAAGAGCCTTACCATTGAATTGTTTTGTTCCGTCACTGGATAATGCAGATCATTATGTCAGCTCCACTTTCTTTTGAGTTCTGCAGATTAGATGTAACATTAAATAACTGCCACACTCAAAACTGTTTTACAATGTCAAAGTTACAGGGTCTCCATTAAACATGGTGTTTTAAAGAGTCAATTTTTATTTTTATTTTGAAGATAAAAAGCACTGTGTACTACTGCTTTACTACTAAATGTGACTGCTTAACATAAGTGTCACTTTTGCTAGTGCATGTTGACTTGCTCTAAGGAAACTCCATGTCCCTTTGAAAGTTTTTTAGGTGTATTCTGAGGTGATTCTCCGACCTTACCCTCATGCTTTTGATACAATAAAGTAATTCTCTACCTTTTAGTAATTTTTCTGTTTTGAGATCATCATCTTAGCTACATAACCTAATTGGACTCCAGTGAATCATTAGAAACAAGTGCCCTGTAAATAAGACAGGGATGTTCCCACATTTGGTTGCGTATCCATTATCATCACTCTCTAGGAGTTCTGGAAGAGTACTTACTGGGACCACACAAGCAGGCTTCTGCCACAGCACGTTTTCAGAAAGAGGTTCAAGCAGTTTCAGTGGAATCTGTTCTTCTGGCATAGGGGCCTTCACTCTATGGCACCATTTCTCAGTTTTACCCAGAAATTGTTTCATATGACCTATTTACATAGATTCCATAGGGCTTACTAGTTGAATTCAAGTAACATCAATGCTGGTCCAAAAAGTTGGGGAGGGTGGGGAAAGCAGCCCTTAATTAGTGCTTTTACCCTCCTTTACAAAGTCAGAGGCTGATACCAGCCTCAAGGAGTCCTGCTCTTCTGATCATATAGAATGCAACAGGTATGTTTGGAGACTAACTGATGTGCATCTGTAGCATATGTTGTTCAACTTTGGTTAAAACAAATTAAACGAATATAGCTTTAGACAAAACCTCACTTTTTAGGCAAGTGAATCTGAGGAAAAGAGGAATGGATGATGCTAACAGGAGAAAATAGTTATAGCGATTTCCTTTATGTCATGGCTCTCTTTAAGTTGCAGGCTTGTAGCAGGTTTACAGAAGCAATTGTGGTGATCCTTGATCCTAAAAAAAACAAAAATCCAATATGAAAAGCTCCATGCAAAAGGTTTTTCTTTTATGCAATATCTGCTTAATCACTGATGACCATCCAGATTGTATATCACAGTAATCTGTTCTCCAATTTCACAGAACACTAGTTTGGTTAAAACTTGGGTGTTTTTCCTAGCAAGTTCTTCAGGTTACTTGTAGCTGTTTGCATTATACAATGCTGCGTTCAGTCTGTAAGTACTTAATATGTGACTTCTGCTCTTGTAAACATTATCAGTTCTTCCTCAGCCTCTAACTCTCTGTTTTGTTCAGCTTTTGAGTTAGACGTGTTGTTGACTTAGGCAGCTTATGAAAAATAGCATGAGGAGCTTTTCTGCAGTTATGTGCCAGAGTGACGTAAACAAGTGTTTTGGAGAAGACTGGTTTTAGGTGGTTTTTTTCCTTATCCTGGTAAATCATCACTCATAATTAAAAGTATAATAAAGCTAATATTTTCTGAGGAAGGTGTAAGTGAGGAGTAGTAATTATCATTAATAATCAGCTTCAAAGCTCTGCTACATTAGAAGGAAACTTTTTTTTTTTTAGTTTGAATTAGTCTATTAAATGTTTCTTTACCTGATGGTTTTCTTCCAAAGGGATCACCCAGGACATCTACTCCATTTGGTACAGCGCATGGCAGAGAGAAAAGAGTGTCTAATGATGTGGAAAACTATTACAGACCTTCAATGCTTGAGGACCCATGGGCTGGCCTAGAGCCAGTTTCTGTTACAGACATAAACCAACAATACAGCAGTGAGCAAACAACATATACTGGTAAAAAAGGGAGGTATTTCAGCTAACACTTTTAAAGGCCAAATAACTCCATCTTGTCAGGAAAACTTTGGGACAAAATCTTTACACTTACACAGGATGAACAGTAATCAAGACCTTAGATAATGCTTTTATTTGATCACATGTCCACCCTTTTATCCTACTTTTTTTTTTTATTGCATTGGATATTTTTATGTATTGGGAGGGAAAAGGAGTGGTAGGAAAACTTACATTTCTGGCTATGTGGAAGTGCCTACCAGCTTTGAAGAACAAAGTGTTCTTTAATCACCAGCGACTGATTTGTGACTGTTAAAACAGGTTTCCATATATTTACCTCTTCCATGCCAGATTGTTAGCCTTTTATTGTAAACTCCTTTAGGAAATGGTATTTTTTTATGTTTCAACATTTTTAGAATGAAGTAACTTGGAAATAAAATAAAGTTTTGTAAATCCTTGTTTTGTAATGTATAAAGATTATTTTAGGACTTTTGTTAAGGTGTACACGTTAACACAAATAGTACTAGTGAAATTAGGTGACTTCTGTAAATGTGCTTGTATGCTGTAGTTAACCTCTGATTTTGTGCATAGTATTTTTTGTTAATTGTAGTGTAACATGAAGTTGAAACGTGACTTTTAGCCATCTCAGGAAACAAATGTATTGTCTTTGGAAAGTTTAATTTGTTGAACCAGCTCTTGAGTCATAAACATAATTCTGTAATCATTTGCTTTTGTATTTAAAAAAAAAATCTTATTTGGAGCAAAATTAGACATTTCTGGATTATAGTAACAAGTCTGTTCAGTGGCAATTCAAGTCTAAGGAGCACATAAAACATTAAGATTAAATACATGCAAGTGTACTTTCTGGATCCACCTGTTAGAATAGCATAGAATGAATGACAGTTTGTTATACGGTTGACATTAGTACATGCATAGCATCTCTGGTTTTTTATCTGTACAAGATTTTTCTTTTTTTAATTATTTTTACCTGTGGCAGGCATCTTAGCCTAGAGAAGTCTTGTTTTGTGTGCATGCATGCTGTATTTTTATACGGAAGAGGAAAACAATGAGAGGTTTTTTTAGAGCTTGTTTATACTTGGAAGATCCATTCTTAAATCCAGTAGTGAATATTGTAATCTAGAATAAATAAGAAATAGTTCCAGCTGCAGGCATGCTCTTAACATGCCATGTTAAGCCTGCAGTAGGTATCTTAAATTTTTGTTGAGCGTACCATTATTTGTTTGTTGATCTTGGCTTTTTAACAGTAGTTAGAGGGTGAAAACTTACTTAAAAATAAATAAAAGCATTAAGTTCAGTTTTCAAAACATATGTTTTGTTTTAAGCTTCTTACATACTTCACAGAAAACATATTTTTCTAGTCCTGAAGCATGGTTAGGTAGAAAAGCACAGGGAATCACATTGGACTGTTCTTAGTAACTTGTCTTTTGCTGAGGTAGAATAGTCCTATATACCTCCGTATCTGTTTCAGTATAAAATGTCTTGGGTTAATACTGCCTGGAGGAACAACTCCAAAGTGGAAGGGGGGTTAACGTGTTGAAATGTGCTAGCTGAGTCTCCTGCACTGTTATGACCATAATCTAAAGTTTGTCACCTGTGTCTCCCCCCAGTTGACCTTATTGTTTTAGTATTATATCCAAAAAGGCTGCTTAAAGAACTGAGAACATAATGCCTGCTTGATATCAAGAATGATTAAATCTTCATCCCAGAATAAACTGTGCCTTAAATGGCAGCTGTCGGTATTGTTATCTGTAATGCATACCAGCAAAATCAAGATGACTTCACAAGTTGCAGACAGTCTTTAGAATTTATAAATCAATTCATCAGTGTCATTGTGAAAAGTGAAGTATAAAGTTTTCTTTCTTTCTTTTTTTTTTTTATTTAAAACCTTGTCAGGTGCTGTAAAGCTCGCAAAAAAAGTTACAAAGCGCTTAACGGAGTCACTTTTTTTGTTACTATTTCCTTTGTAATTCAATACAGTTTACTTTTTGCAATGTTTGGTGATCTTGGGCAAACAGATACGATTTTATTTAAGAGACTAAAGCTATGATGTGTTCCCAGTTAGACGTGAGAAGAAACTGGGTTTGAAAAGGAGAAAGGAAAGGAAAAGGATTCATGACAGAAGAGAGACCATTAGAGGTGGGACTGCTTATACAGTAGCCATTATCAGCTGCCCTGGCACATTGCAAAGATCCATTTTTCCACTTTGGCTTTGCAGTTGACCCCAGGGATCAAAGCCAGCCTCCTCTGGTAATAACTGTTAACTCCTGGAACCGGGTGTCAGACATCAGCGAAGGTAAATGTTCCAGAAAGAGAATTGAGGAAATAATCTTGAAGCATTGTTTAATCAATACAGGCCTTCCACAATGCCATCTGTTAAGCTGCTGCTCCAGTGCACTGCAGGATATGACCCAACAATTATAAGTACATCATACTGCTAAAGACTCCAATAATTTGGTCAAGAATCAGCAAGGAATTAAAATGTAGATGTAATAAACTTACTAACCTCATCATTCTGCACAAAAACTTAAAAGTGATTCACCTTCCTGGCTTCTAGGAGAAATTCTGCAATTACAGTAAAATTTCAAAATGTCATTGTTGAATAGCTGTAAAATGCATGAACACATGTTCAGAATTATAAATATAGTGTACTTAAAGCCAATTTAAGCTTTGCCTTTTTTGCTATGATATCCAGGAAGCCTAAGCACTTACTTCCTCACTGATTTTTCTCCTTTTTCCCATATGGCAAACATTCTTTTTCCCCACCTGTTTCTAATGGAGATAGGATATATCACTTCCTCATTTGTTAATGAAGCCACTTCGTAGTAACAGTATGGCTCTGGAAACAGCATTTGGTGATTAAAAAGTACAGCACAGATACATCCTTTCTTCATGAGCCCGTGAAATAAAATAGTGCCTGTGTCTTGTTAACGAAGGGATTCTTCTGTAATGAACACACTAAGAGTACAGGCAGTATTCTTTCTTCAACAGACTTAGATTTTTAAGGTAAGTCATTTCGCTCCTTTTTCAGAAGTTTGGATTGATGTACTTCTTTTCCATTCTGTTTGTCCCTCAAGTCACTCCGACTTTCCATTCAGCTGTTGTAAAGGAGTTGTGTAACTCATGACTAACTCTCTCCTAGCAAAAATTTAATTTCATTTGTCGCTGTTTGCTACTGTGTTTAACAGTGAAGTGCATTGCTACTACGTTGTGCTAATGTCATAGTAAGGGAACTTAAATCAGCCGAGTACAATTCTGTGTAACATGGCAACACACCAGGTGGGCCGGTACCCCAACTGTGTACTGTAATACTTCAAAGATAGTTCAGGTTTGGGTTTTTGCTGTGACTTTATAATATGGAACATTTCATTCTGGCACTTCGTACATGCTATTTTACATTGAAATTGTAAAACCACTTAGAATGGTAAAATTTCAATTAAAACAGGATTTTAAAAATTCCTATCAAGCTACTTCTCTTTAGAATTAGCGGTAAACAATTGAGCCTTAAAATGTGGCATTTTTCTAATACCAAAGCTGGGAACACTTTGCAGGGGAACTGCTTCTGGTCAACTGAATGGGTAACTACTTTTGCAGTCAGGTTGTTTTTCTTTTCCTATTAAGGATATCTTTATGTACTCTTCACTTTATGTAAATGTGTTAGACATCTGAGGAGGAGCGTTTGAAACATGCATTACATGGAAAGTCTACAGCTCCCTTCTAAAGAAAAGTTTTTATATTCTGTTTGGGTTTCAAGTTGTGCTCCTGAGTAATCTCACTGGTGTCAGAGGATTTACTCATGCAACCAAGATAGGTAAGTATCTAACATTACAGTTTGAAAATTGTATCATCCCTTTGTCTGTCAGTGCTTTTTACCAACTCTGCAATAAACTGCTCTGTTTAGCAATCGCTCTGAATTCAAATTCATACATGTGCTTTTACACATGAGCCAAGACTGTCTTGCAGTGAATTAAACTTATTTTTACAACATTTGACTAACTCTTCAGAGTAAAGACTTTGTGCTCCGTTCCCCAAATCTTGGCACTTGCCTGCCTTCCATCTTCCTTGAACTTGGGGAGAAAAGGGACGATTGCCTACACTGATGGGTGAAGAATCCAGTACTGATTTTCATGTCTCAGGCTTTCAGAAGCTTGTGTACCATTTGACGTAGGTAACCAGATAAACTTTATCATTCAAGATGGCTCAAACAACTTCTTACACCACAAGCAGTAACACAACTTGGTGATTTCTTTCTTAACAGCAGTATAGTTCCAGCATTCAGTCATTAGTTCACAATGAGAATTTTTGCCTACGCTTACTTTTCATCTGCATGTCTCACAAGGCACAAATTGAATTAGTCTCATTTTCTGCCATTTTCACTAAAATATGTGCTTTGCTGACTTAACACTTTTTCAACCTGGACTTCTGAATTTACCTTTACAGAATTACTAGACGTCAAATCTAGGCCTTCCCTGTAAAGCATTTTAGATCTGGCTAAGAGTTTTATCCCCTCCTCATTACTTCTTTGATGACACTAGTAAACCTTTGACTTCTGGAGACAGTGGAGCAAGATGCTCAGTGCCAGAACAGGGTGATCAAACCCCCCTTCCTCTCCTCGAGGTTACGCCTTGGTTCTCGCCATTCCAGTGCAGTGGGGCTTGGGAGCTGTTTTGAGCCAAAGAGTCATCCGTTTTGTTTCACCAGCTGTATGTGCATTGCAGCATTTTAAACTATATCAGTGGTTTGCTTAGTGCACACCTTGGATTTTAAATTTTACCAGCGTTATAAATTCTGATTTGTAGTTGTAACTCCTCAGACTGTTGCACAGTCTCTTCTGCAGTAAAATCACAGGTGGATTCCACAGCCCTATGTTCGCTGATCTGTGGCTGTGGCACATTCCTTTTCTGAACTATAAATGTGCACATTTGTGTACAAGAAAGTAACTTGTGTGGCTTAAAAGGGATCATCCCAGTCCAGTTTCGGAGTGAAATGTTTAATACTGCTGACACTACTGCTATTAAAATAAGAGCTGCTCTGTCCTCCTTTAACAGGACAAAAATGAAGCAAAACATTAAGCAGTTGAGATGCTGAGCTGGGAGCTCTGGTCTGTGCAGTGCAAGATGGACTACATGATTAAGGACGTCATTACAATTCAGCATAACCTGTATTAGCCCATTTCCAGATTGCAGGTAGAATGCGTTTTTAACAAAGAGCTGAAAAAATACCACCCCACTCCCTAATAAGAAGAAGGTATTTCTCAAAAATTACCTTACACATGAAAGAAGAATTCTTATGCAGCCTCACAGCCTATGAGACGTGTCTTGTTCTTATTTTTCTTCTGAAGCAGCACGGACTTGTTACCGGTAACTTCAAGGCTTCCTGCGTCATGAACATCAGTCAAAGCCATCAAATCACCATTTGACCTGTTCTCTGACAAA